ATTTTCAGAGTAAGTATCACTAAAATCTTTAAAGTTACATTTTCTTAGAAAAAGATCAAGATTAAAATACTATTTCCCCGGGCTGGGAATTTAGCTCAGCGGCACAGCGCCTGCCTGGCAAGCGCAAGGTTGTGCATTCGATTGCCGGTACCAGAAAAAAAAACAAAAACAAAAACAAAATACTATTTCCCTAAGCCTTATCCATATTTCGAATACATTAGCATCAAACCACTGAGTGTAAGCTGAGTGAGCAGTTAATTACTGGAAATTTATAGAACGTATCTACATGCAATGAAAGTTCCGGGAGCACTTTCATTGTGTGGGTAGAAAATGTAACAGAGAGAAAACGACGTACATGCAACATTCTATACTAAAAATGATTTTATAAAGACTTGTCATATTAGTACATGCTGAGAGCCTTGTAAAACTAGCTGCAAATTATTTTTTTAAAGATAGGGTCTTGTCCTGTAATTCAAAGTGACCTTGAACTCATGTGTAGCTCAGGAGGGCCTTGAAATTGTGGCAATCCTCCTGCCTCAGCCTCCTGAGTACTGGAGTTACAGCCTATGCCACCACAACTGGCTGTACATTTTTAAAGGTGTATTTTTCCAGGAAACTCATCTCCACTCTATATCCTCCTCTTTCATACTCTTCTTGCTGTATACTCATGAAAAATGTATAGTTATTCCATTATGTATACAGAAAATACAAGTCATATTCCAGAACAATGAGATGAATGAAAAAAAACCAACATTTTAGCTTTTTAAACATTGTTTAAATGCTAGGTAGACAAACTTCTATGTAATGTATAGTCTAACTAATATTTAGTTAGAATATTAATTAAAAATACTAACGTACATCTTCCTAAATCAAGAGAATTCGCTTTGAATGTTTCCAAGCCCACAGATCCCAGCCATTTGCTTGTCACATTTGGAGACATCTGTACATCTACTGGTGCTTCCCAAGTACCAGTCATTGGACCATGGGTCAATATTTTTTATTTCTATTACTCACCATGTCGAGAATCTGCTGCCATCACCCCTCTGAACACCCCAGTCTGCCTCCGGACACGGCCTCTTGCCCAGCTTCCAATCTTGGGTGCACAGCTTCCTGCTCTCACCCTGGCTGGCCTCACCCTGGTCTCAGCCTGTCACCTGCATGTGCTCCGCGGAGAGAGAAGGACGCTGATGGTCTTGACCCTGTAAGGTTTTAAGCCTGAAGCAAACATTATTTTGCCTCTAGGCCAGGCCACTCTTCTTCGATTCTTTCACTTTAAACTTCTGTCTTTATGTTAAAGGTGGGTTTCTTGTGGGCAATGTATAGTTGGCTTTGGTTTTTAAACATCAAATCTGACAACTGCAGGCTATCCATGGGGGCTTTTATGCCATTAACATTTAATGCAATTTTGATAAACTTAGGTTTAAAACTCTTTTTCTATTTTCTCATGGGTTCTTTTGTTCCCTTTCATTTTCTGCTGTTTGTTTTTTTGTCTTTGGGTATTTGTATTGTGTGAGTTCTTTTTATTCTTTTACTTTTAATTAACAAATAAAAACTGTATAACTCTATAGTGTATAGAGGGGGCACTGTTGGTTCTTTCCCACAATGTATTTTTCTGTTTTTCTGTCTCACTCTGGATAGTTCCTATTGCTGTCTTCAAGTCCATTATTTTATCTTCTGCAATATCTAGTTTACTAACTCCAATCACTTTGCTCTTCTCAGAAATTGTAACTTCCGTCTCCGCATGTCTGAACTATGTTCCACAGCACTTACCTCTCTAATTTAATCCACTTCATCTTTCCTCCAGGCTCTGAAACCTGCATAGTTGTCTGTTCTCATGTCCTTGTGCACTGGTCCCAACCCCTCTGCCGCTGCTGGGTGTTAATGGGCTTGTTCTGCTTCCTCACTGCGGGCCACAATGTCCTGCACGTTCACACGCAGATGCCCCAGAATAGATGTTGGCTATGGTGTGTGTTAGTTACCTTGTTGGGTGATACAAGTTTTATATTTTTTAAATTGTTCTTGAGCTTTGTTTTGGGTCATTATGTTGCCCAGAAACATTTATCCTTTGGGATATTGCTTTGTTAAGTAGGATAAAAGCAATATCAGTCTAGGACCATCGGGGCAAACTCTTCTCGTACCATTCCCACTGGCTGACTCCCTGATCGGTGAGGTTTCCTGAGCGGCCGCTTGAAGCAGGCACTAAGCTTGCACAGGATTCAGTGACTGCTTTTTGTCCTCCGCCAGGCGGTTCTTGCACTGGCTGGAGTCTTCTCATACATAGGAGCTCACCTGCACAGCCCCGAGTATGCTCCCTCCCCCAGTGCTCTGCCCTGCAGACGCTGTCTTGGCCTCCCTGGGCCTGAGTTCTGACTTCTTAACTACAGAGAATGCAGGCTACTCCAGGGTTTCCTCTCCCTGTACCACAGGCTGGAAATCCTCTTGTGGGACAGAGCTGGGTCAACGGGAGGCCCATGTCAGTTGTTCCTCTGAGGGCTCGATGTCCTTCGTGGACTGATGTCCAATGTCTGGATAACCTTCTCGTGAAGGTACCTGCAGCTTCTGTTTTGTATTTGTCTGCTGTTCCACTCTTAGGTGGCAGGTACAGCCGGGCACTCACTGTGAGATGAAACCGGGCGCCTGGTGTGGAAACTGAGTCATATTCTGAAACTCCACCCATCTCCTTCCGTTGCAAAATCCCACTCGTGGTATTTTGTTGATTCACCTTGTTTTGTCTATGCATATTCTTTTTAAAAAATTCTTTCTTAGTACGTTTGCCATACATAATGATCATAGTCATTGCAGGAATTTGTACCTATACATGGCACATTTTTTCCCATTCACCTCCCCTCCTTTTATCTCTTCTTACCCTCCCCACATACGAAGACTCTGTTTCCATTTTCCCTCCCATTCTTTTTTAAAAATCCCTTTCTCCTTTCTTCGGTCTTCTCTCTCTTGTCCCCTTCCCGTCTGAATAAGCTCTTCCTACTTCCCAACATCTGTCCTCCGTTTTGCTGCTTATTTTCCCTTTTGGTTTCTCACACAGGAGAAACAGTGCGCTATTTAAATGTGTGTGTGTGTGTGTGTGTGTGTGTGTGTGTGTGTGTGTGTGTGTGTGTGAGATTTACTTCACCTAAAATTACGGTCTTCAGATCCATCCACTTACCTAAAAGTGTTTCAAGTTTATCCTTTTTTCACTGTGGCATGATACTTTTGGCTCTTTCAGAAAGAAACGTAGGGGCCAGGGATATAGCTCAGCAGCACAGCACCTGCCTGGCAAGCGCAAGGTCCTGAGTTCAATTCCCAGCACCAATAATTAAAAAAAGAAGCTATCTAGAAGGGAAATGCCTGGGTCAAATGGGATTTCTAGTTCTAGTTTTTTGAGGAATCTCCACACTGATTTCCACAGTGGTTCCACCAGTCTACACTTCCACCAAAAGTGGAGAAGGGTTCCTTTTTCCCCACAGCACCGTCAGCATTTGTTATTGGTTGATTTTTTGATGACAGCCCTTCTTTCTGGGGTGAGATGGAATACCTGCTGTTTTAATTTGCATTTCTCAAATGACCAGTGATGCTGAACACTTTTTCATACATTTATTTAACATCTTTACTTCATCTGAGAAGTGTCCATTCCAGATGCCCAGATTCATCTTTTGAAATGCTTTTCAAATATAACCTTTTTCAATTTGTGCTAACCACCTCTATCTATGCTATCTAAAGATGTTTTATTGCTAATAACTTCTAAAAAGACTTTCCTGGCTTAAGTCTCCAAGCTTGCCTATAAATTACTATTAGATCTAGACGTTTCTTTTACTGCTGTTTTCCCAAGAACGTAGAAGCTGAAGGATATCTGGGACTCAACAACCTTGCTAAAGAAACAAATTATAATCTCTGAACACCTGTGTTAGGTTCTTTCTTGGCTTAAAAAAAGTCACTGCTCTCCTCCTTAGCACAGATCAAGTCAAAGCTCCTGATCTGTTTCTTCTGTCATTACCCAATCTACCTGAGCCCTGCCCGCAGGTTTCTTCCAGGAGGAGGGGCGTCTCCATTGTCTCTTGAAAGGCGAGCTCTTCGGTGCCTGTGTAGGGCTCGCATTTTCTGAATTTCCAGTGTCTTCTGTCTGTTTGAACACCTCCACTGTTTCCTGTGTGTGTGGGTTTTGTTTTCGTTTGTGCACATTTACATTTTGTCTTTCCAAATGGGTCAATATCCCGGCAAGAAGGGAACCGTCTCTTACAATTCTTTATGTATACTGAGACACAGCAGGCCCTCCGTGGATATTTTAAAAATGGAGGCAGAGATGATCTTGGTTACTTTACACAGGCTGAAAGAATTATTTATTTACAACAAACTCATACCTCATTCATCACACATTATTTTTCTTGTTCAAATTGTAGTGATACTTTTGGTGAGTATCACCTCATAATAAAGCCTTTTGGGTTTTAAATAAAATTCTACCTTACAGGTCAAGGTTCTAGAATTTACTTCCTCTTATTGCTTTTATTTATCAAATAAAAAACTGTGCCCCAGTTTCTATAGAATAATTAATTTAATATAAGGGCTGTCATAGTATTTCCACAGAAGCCAAGGAAATCCTGCTACTACATAGCCAGTGGATATAAACTGGTATTTATTTATGGAAACATATTTAAAATTCTTCTAAGTCTTCAAAAGAATATTTATGCTGTCATGAACATATAAAATGGGAAATATAAAGTGAATATCAAGATTTCATTTGTAGTTCATAAAAAATATTGAAGTAAACTTCCTTGCTGAACAGAAGAGTTGGCTGGCAGGAGAAGACATAAAAATGTCAGCTTCTACCTTGGAAAGAGCACGAAGTCTATTTTTTGAAAAGTATTTCAGTGATAGGCATTCCTATAAAAAATGAAATTCTCTTGCTATAATGACATTTTGCCAACTAAACTTAGAACATATAGCGCCCCCCCATACAGGACACTTTTTTTTTTTTTTTACTAGAAAACAGGTAATTCACATTCTGATAAAGAGCAAAAGACAAGTGCTTTATTATGAGAACTGTTCAAGTAAAGTTTCAGTGTGCACCTGTGAACGTGGATAAACGTTTGCGTCCGTGTTCTGGGTGAACATTGGGTTAAAAAGGGGCTACATAGTTTTGTTCTTTTTTTTTTTTTTCCAAACACCACCCTTTGCTAAGGCAAGAATACACTTCATTTCAGAATAGAACTGTTACAGAAGAAAGCTACAGCACAGCACAGTACAGAAGGTAAAACTCACTTGGTCTGGAAGCCGCTATGCCACGGCAGGTCCCTGTGGGAGGAGCTCCCACGCAGGCAGGAGGGCAGCGCTTATCACAGCTTTATTTTTCTTTAAACTGATAACATCTGAATACACTACTTCTCAGGAGTGTGCAGATGGGGCCCATATGCTGATAATACAGTAATTTACACATTAAATAACATTGCACAGTCAACCTCCAGGGCTAATTCAGTATAAAATAACAGGTATTAAAATGTACCTTTACGAATGTCTTTACATATGTCACTAATTACAAAAGAAAAGTTGGCAAATACCCCATTACGAAGCTGCACGTTACAGGTATAACGATGTGGAATAAATACAAGAAATCTGGCAAAATATTTAGAACACATGGATTACATGGGAACAAAGTGAACAGCCACGGACACGTAAATCAATGATGAACTGTCACCAACAGCGTACTTCGCTCACGAGTCCCCTGGGTGTCACAGTCACTGCAGAGGCCGGTGGAAGGGATGAGGGGATCCCCAGTGCCAGTTAATTCCTGAGGTGGCATTATGCACTGATCAACACCAGGAAGATGAGTCTGTACCACAAAGTAGTCCCAGTATTATTCTATTTCTGCAATGACACCGCAGGCTCGAAGGCAACAAGCCTGAACCACGGTTTACGTGAGTCACCAGAGGAAGTACTGATTCTTTTCAACTTCACTGCTGCAATTAGGGGGTCAGAATACTCCTCAAAGTTCAAAAGAAACTTGGTATAGGTTTAATTTTTTCCCCAGTATGTCTTAGCTCCAGGCAAACCTATTACTTATTTTCATGTACTTTGTTGTAGAAACTCTACGTGTCAATACTGTAAACATCGTGTATCTTTTCAACGAACCTCGTTTCATGACAAGGTTGAAGGTAAAGGTAAGCAGGAATAATTCTGTGTATGATAAACGGATCTATTTATCAGCTTCTGGTTGAAATTTAAATATGACTGTAAATAATTTTTAAAAATCCATGCCACAATGGTAAAGACTAGTTCTTGTACCTTTAATCCTGGACACAATTTTCAAAATTGTATGATGGAGGTAAGAATTTAAAAAACCCATCAGAATGTAAATAACAGGGAAAAACATTTCCAGTCAGAGCATCAAACGTACATTATGTGCAGAAATCTAGACAACTATACAAGTTTTTAAGCAATTGGATTTTATTATACAACTCTATGAACAGAAAATGAACAGAAATACACAATATACTTACCTGTACATGTGAACCTACTTTGTCGGCTACAGATATTTATTACAGCTCATATGGACTTTAATTTTACAGTTCATGACTATGTATAGCCTTATTGCATTAAGGGCAGGTTCTATAGGGGGATTCACAGGCAGACGACATCAGACATGACCAGTACATTCAGAACTGTATCGCAGACACGGATGTGTCTTCCCTGATCCTGCCAATGTGGATTGCTTTACAGCTTAAGCTCGTTTGCTATTTTGGATGCAATGTTCTTAAAGGCAATCGATGTCCCCGATATCCGCTTGAAGCGGACCCCGTTGAGCGACAACCGTGGCAGCTTGCAGACTTCCATCTCCCACTGCACGAGGCTGTCCTGCCGCGCATCGCCGTGCACGCAGAAGAGCAGGAACCGCTCCTTCTGCTCGTAATCACAGTTATTCGCGTCCAGCACTTTGCGGATCTCTCGCATCATGTCATTGGGGTCCATTGAGCTCGTGGTCTTCATGCTCCATGTGAACCGCAAGGACCGGGGCTTGGCGTCTTTACCGTCTTCCTTTTCTCTCTCTCTCGGCTCTCCGGGTGCACTTCTGGAAGAAGAGGGTGAAGGGAGACAAGGAAAGCAAGAATTCCATTCAGGGAAGAAATCAAACGCACACCAATACCGCGCAGTCATCATTCAGCGCCCACTTCGCGGTCCGCCCTCGGCTAGCAAAGACCCACGCCACATGGCCGCTGTGAAGGGAAGGCCCAGAGACTCCATCTGCTTGGACTGCCTGTACCCTCAGGAGTATTCAGCTAGCGTAGCGTATTTTTTCCCTACATGCATTTGTCTGTAGAAAAGAAAGCTGCAACCAAAAGCGAATATTTAATACTTTTCCCAGTTCCTTCCCTGGTTTTCTGTTCCATTTTACAAAAAGACAAACAAACAAACAAACAAAACAAACACAAGAACAAGGAGCACAAGCATTCTGATAGCAAAGTACGTTTTTGACATATAAAAAAAATTCTTTTTTCTGTTTCTTCTGCCGCTTTTGAAAGGAGAGATGTAACGAGGGGAGGGAACCATCACACGGGAGGACGTGGGCAGCGCTGGGTTGCGAGTGTGGAAAGACATCACATCACGGTCACGCGCACCGGCCGCCCCTCCCGTGGCTCTCAGCTCACTCTGGACTTCTCTGTAGTGGTCTGCGAGGCTGTAGTGGCCGCCATTCCAGCCACTGCCCTCCGCCGGCCCGTCCCTGCTCACGCCCACAGGGACGCGATGGACTCCACACCACCCCTCCACACGAGGCCAGGAGCGCTCTCTCCACCGTGGCTGCGGGGCTACGTGCCCTGCTTCCTCCACAGGACTGCTCCCTGTCTCCGCGGGGCCCGACCATCCTCCTGTACCCTACCCTGCCCTCACACAGCCGCTCTGCTCCCCCCACTCTATTTTTTCTCTACAGCACTTATTCTAACACACTCTCTGACCCGGGGATGGCGAACCCTTCAGCCTGCTGCGGCACATGTGCCACAGGGGTGCCACCGCTGCTCTAAGCCACGTCTTAGACGTGTTACTTATCAGCCGCATCTCCCACGAGGCTGTCAACAAGATGGCCAGGAATTTGGTCCCTTGCATCCTCCTGCGTATCTCAGGCATCTAGAACTACCCCAGCGCACAGCAGGGGATTAATACACATTTACTGAACGAGTCTGCCATGCTTACGTAAACCAAAGAACCCCCTACAAGTACTCACAGCAGGTAAAATCAGCAAGTTACCCACGATGGAGAATGTGCTGGAGTTACATGTGCTGAACAACTGTCCAAATACGGCTAGAAGTTGTGCCTTTTAACTTGTTTAACTATCTCACCTGTGAGTTAAGAAAGTATGTATTCTGGTTTTTTGTTTTTTTGTCTTTCTGAGACAGGGTCTCGCTTTGCAGTTCAGGCTGGCCTTGAGCTCACTTTGTAGCCCAGGCTGGTCTCAAACTCACAACAATCCTCCCGCCTCAGCCTCCCAAGTGCTGGGATTACAGGCGTGCGCCACCATGCCCGGCTGAAAGTATGTATTTTGAAAGGAGTTTAATCCACCATATAAATATTTTCTACTAATACACATTAATACTACAATGTCACGGGTGTTTCTGCCTCTATTTGCACACATGGAATTTAATACTCAATGTCCCTCCCATTCCTAGGTAACCGAGTCTCCAAATCCCCACGCTACGCAGAGCAGCGGGTAGAGAGGATCGCTTCCCAAAGCCTGCTAAGTGAGAGGTGATATCTCATGGTCTCTCTAGCTTCGTCCTTGCCCACTGACCTGGCCACTGCATTCCGGGCTCCACAGGTGGACCGCCAAGCACATCCCCACACTCTGGACTGGGGGCGGGGCTGAGGTCACCTGCCCGAACGCTTCTTTTAACACAGGACCGATGGCCAGGACACCTACATTACATTTCTAAGGTGAGACAGCTAATTAATTCAAAAGACTAGAAATCAGGTGTCATTCCAGCCCAGTTTCCTTCCGCGTGAGCAAGAGGCTGGCACGTCTCAGAGGCACCCACCCCATGGACACCCACAGGGCGGGTGCCCACACGGCAGCTCACACATCCTGAGTCGGAGGGCAGCAGCTGTGCGCAGTGCCCCAAGTGCGTGCCCCACCACCCGCTTACGAGGCTGTCAGGAGACGTGGGCACCAAGTGCCTTCCAAAGGCACAGCAACGTCAGTGGGAGAACACAGGCCGCGCTGAGGTCCAGCGGGCGGGCGGTGCGTCTAACCACAGCGCCACCCTCTCCCGCACTACTGGGCCCCACGCCGCTGCTGCGCCCCTCACTCTCTATCCTCTGTGAAAAGTGCATGTGGAGCTGTTGGTTGTGGAATCAAATGAGTAGCAAGTACTTTATCAGCAGTAGAGATTTAATAAGTCTTAGTTCGAAAACAAACCCAAGTGCAATCAAACTAAAGGAAAGACGAAAGGTGTTTCGTAAACATTTATGGAAGATTAGTTATTAAATTCTTATGTTAATAAGATGAGGTAGCATATCAGGAGGACAAAGCGCAGGCAGATTAGCTGCAATACTGCAGCGCCCCTGTGACCCTCACACTGTCAAGTGTCTCTGAAGAAATTCAGGGGAACCACAGGGCAGATGCTGAGAGCAGCGGGTCGCGTCACCCGGCAGCAGAGGGAAGGTGAGACCATCTGCCCACCTCCCTTCCCGCTACTGAGCTCCAGAAGAACTGCACCAAGGATGACGAACATACGTAAACAGAGCATGACTAAAAGATATCTTATTTCTCATACTCAAAACCTCCATCAAGTTCTAACACATTTGTGCGGTCAAGTTTTAACAGACGTCTACATGAGAATGCTTTAAAATATTTTTCATTATGTTTCCTATTTCAAATAATTTAAAATGTAGAAATTAAATCAGAGGCTTTGGTTTAGCTGGTCAAAAATAATTCCTGAGTAAAGCCAGGCATCTGTCTTCCTGTGGAACTACTTGTGGGTCTGAGATGTATATTTTGTCCCTCAGCACCCGTGTACACCCAGAGTAACCGAACAATGGCATTTCTTGAGCCTCAGAGGTCTGAAGTGTGCACCCCAACACCGACATGTCTGCAGCTGTCGCAGCATGGCAGGGACTGTTCCTGTCAGGAACGCAGGTGCTCAGCCCCTAGGGCCCCCAGCCCCTGAAGAACCCTGGAGCCTGAGAACAGGCTCTTCAAGTCCTGTCTGTGTCCTCACTGCGCTTGAGGTTGAGATCCACTGCCAGAAGGAACACTCAACTAGTGTTAAATGTCTAACCCCACGAAGAATGCAGGATAGAGAGCAAAGGTCCAAGACTGAATGTTCACCCAAGATACACCATGACTACCAAACCGCCCCGCACATCCAGCCACCCAGGCGTCCCGTGTACCCGTGCTGGTCTGACGGGGGCTAAGTTTAGTTACAACGCCCCAGTGAGAAAGGGTCGGGACATTTTGATCTATTAACTTCTACCATGACGCATCTTAGTGAACAGAACAGCTACTTCCTTACCAAGTACAGAACTCCAGATAATGTTTGGAAGACACAAACCAAGTTGATTAACCTAAACATCATTATATATGAGGCAACATCAGAAATCCACCCCAACATAAAACTTTACAGTGCATACTGCCCAGTTATTAATGTCATCTCCACTACAAGCCCTGACGACCAGCCAGGCCCATCCCCATTCCTGGGGCCCCAGCCAAGCGGGGTGAGGCTCCTTACCTGGACGGGTCCATTCTGCCAGTGGCTTCGCCTTCACTTGGATCCCTCAAAACAAAGTAAAATTGAGATATTTACTGACAGAACTGAGAAATATACCAAGAAAATCTACCCCCAAAATGACTTTCTGGTTAACTTGGTGAGCAGATGTCTACCATGACAGCTGTATTGCTAGTCGGTGGAACCCCATTTCCCATAGTTTCCGTGACCCCCCATGACCACCACTGAGTGAGGGAGAGCTGGGGAGAGTCACGCGGAGATGCCGAGGGGGTCCCAGCCACGATGTTAACGTCATGATTTATCCTTCTGGGTTAGTTTGGCATAATCTGAAGTTAAAGTTAACAACTGTGAACAACAAGATTAAACTTCGCATTTGTTATATATAACTCTAGTGTATAGAATATACTATGCTATATATACTAGAACTAGTATATTCCATACTAATTTATGTTGCTAAATTGGGAAAATACATAAATTAACCTCATACTCAGAAATAAAGTTCAACATGTAGGTATTTTTGAAAATAAATACCAACTTTTAAATAAACAATCAACTTATTTCAGAAGTTCAGCTAACAATCCAGGCACAGCAGTCAGGAGCCTATCAGAAAAAGTGGAGTCCAAAGTCATACATTCCATTTTAAACACAAACACTGCTCTTACCTGTGTGTCCTGTGAAATAAAGCCAAGCAAACACTACAAACTGTCCTCATGTTGAAGATAATGAATATTTCTGAAGTTCACCAGCATTTTAATCACTTCGTCATTTCCAAGAGTAACTAATTATCTAGATAGAAGTTATCAAGTTTAAACTAATTTAAAACTATTAAGAGTTGGCTTTTTTGCTGGGGATACAGCTCAGCAGCACAAGTGCCTGCCCGGCAAGCACAAGGTCCTGAGTTCAATTCCCGGTGCCAAAAAAAAGTTCGCTTTTTGATAGAATAAAACACTTGTAAGTAGTTGGGGAAAACCACTAACTTAAAACTCTTAGGTTAGCGTTGTCCTCATGCTTTAACCATCCCAGGAAGAATTATAACAATATTTACGTAAAATAAATGCAACGGGAATGAAACCAGTGCCACTCTCTTTCAAGTTAAAATGAGCTCTGCAACTGCAGTGGTTATTACGCCCTCTCCCCAAATCGGTTTTCCCCACAGCGAGCGGAAGTGAGCGGCACACTTCGGAGCAGGCTCGGGGCGAAGCACACTTCTGCTATCGCAGACGTGATGGCCGAGGACAGCGGGCTCGCGTGCTGCATGTGACAGTGATGTCCCTGCCTCCTGCCGCAGGACGAACGCCTTCACTAGGCCGGGACAGTGCCACAGGCGTGCGGCCAGCGGATGAGCTGCCTTGTAACCCGTTGGCAGATTCCTGCTCCTGCGATTCACACGGCACCGCGAACTAACTGCCCTGGATGCCACCTCTGCCGTCAGCCGCCCCTGCGCCTGTCGCAGGGCTATGTGCAGACCCGTCCAGAGATCATTTGGCCAGAACCATCAGCTCAGAACCCCTCAGGGTCCCCCGGGCATCGGAGCGACAGGCGCAGGGGCGGCTGACGGCAGAGGTGGCGTCCAGGGCAGTTAGTTCGCGGTGCCCTGTGAATCACAGGCGCAGGAGCAGGGATCTGCCAACGGGTTACAAGGCAGCTCATCAGTTCAGTTATGAGATGGCTGGCTGTTCTTCTCCCAAGAGCGCTAAGCCTGGAGGCACGATGCAACCCGGTCTCCTTCACAGCCCACCCTGCACCTCCCGCGGGCTTTGCAGGCACCAGGGCGTCAGGAGGCGTGGCTGGCACCTGGGACCTGGCACCTGGGACCTGGGACCCGGTCAGGTTCGCGTCCGCTGCACTCCATCAGTAGCTACGTGATCAGCATGCATACAGATGCTGGCTTTTATGGAAAAAGGACAGCTATACTGTTTTACTATAGTAGAAGTTTATTATACATGTTTTTGTTTTATTTTTACTGTATTTTGATTTATGTTAAAATTGTATGAGGTTAAATAAATCTATGTGATTCTAGTATATAGAAATTTTACACAAAGAGGAAAGAAGATAAACCACACATATTATTAATGAGCAATTTAGAAGTATTTTAAGATAACAAACACTGTTTGAAGGATTCACATAAACTCATATTTAATTCCTTCTCTTAAAATCAAGGCTTTTAAATATGAGTCCATCTTTTGATCGAAGCGCGTAAGTTTTTATCGCACTTTTTTGGTTTTTCCACCCTGCTTTATAGAATTTTTTTTTCCGTACTAAGAGTCCAACTCAGGACCTCACGCTTGCCAGGCAGGTGCTGTGCCACTGAGCTATATCCCCAGCCCTTAACAGAATTTTAAAATTCTCATTTTGTCCCTCTTTTTCTCGGATAAAAAAAGACCTTTTGTATTACTCGATTTTTTTCTTCCAATTTCCGCAAAAGGGGAGCTCTCGTGATCTCTCATGAGACCATTTCGGAAAACAATCGCGGCAAGGATCCGAGGAAAATTCGCGTTCCCCGGATGCCCCCGGGGAGAGGGGCGGCCCGGCACCGACCTGCGCACGAACTTGGAGGTGATCTTGCTGATGATGCCCGTGGACGTGCCCCTCCGGGCGTGCGCGAAGGCCCCGGGCTCGTGCGACGGCGAGGCGGGGGGCCCGTTGTGCGCGGCGCTGCGGCGCTCGCGGAGCTGCTCCCCGTGGAAGGTGCTGCGGCTGGAGCTGCCCCGGGGGAAGCGCGTCCGGTCGGGGGTGGCGGCGCTGATGCTGTGCGCCGACGGGGAGGCGGCGGGCACTCTCTGGGGGGCACTGCGGGGACAAACCGGGGCGCACCGTCAGGATCACACCCGGCGCGGGGCGTTCCACCCGCTCGCAGGAGGGGAGACTCCCGGGTTAGCTGTAGGCAGTGTCCCACGGGAGGACAGGATTTCAGGTCGGATTTGGTTAAAATGAACACTTCTTACAGAAACTCGCTCACTGAGAGTAAATTACTGAGACGGGGACCCAAAGACCGGCACTCGTCCCACTGGGAACGCGGCCGGCGCAGCGCATGGACTTACGCAGTGCGCCGCAGGGAGCGCGTATCCTTCCCCTTCATAATCAGAACGTGTAAAATCCCAACTGCTCTAAAACACAAAGCTTTTTTCGGTGCTGGTATGATTTCACAAACGAAAAACTCCAAACCCGGCCTCGTGTGACAAGGCACAGGCAAAACGAAGACTCCAGAGCTAGTTTACGAAGTCACCGGCACGCTGCCGGTACACGGCAGCCGACAAACATGAATTCAGCAAATATTTAAAAATCTGCCAAAATTCGAAACCCAAAATGCTTCTGGTCCCAACAATCAGACGCGGGAATCTCAGTCTGCACTCGAACTACTTAGCAATGCGGAACCCGGGTTGTACCGTTTATCAAACCATCTCAGTAAAATCTCCGCCCACTTCTAATTTCAGGCCTGTGATAGCATAAGGCTATGATGGCACCAAGATTATGACTAACAAAAATCCACTTAAAAAAAGGTTTAAATGTTCTGAAATTGAGAACTCCTTACCTTGGAGTCATCTGATTGTAGGGTAACTGGTAAGAGCAGAGGTCTTAGGGCCTGCTGTGTTATATGTTTAATTAGCGAAAACACTCAGTTTACTTAAATAATCAGCCAGTGACATTTGACTTCACTGACAGGCTTGCGCATGCGGGCTGCAGCGGGACGCTCCCCCAGGCAGCCTGCCTGGGAAGCTCGGACTCCCGCTGTTTTCCAGCCACTCCGCAATCTCTAAAGCAAAAACAAAACGGAGCCGGAAGCAGGACGTACCCGGGCCGGTAGGCTTCGGAGCCGTCTTTGATGGTTGGCAGCGTGACCTTGATCGGATGTCCAGACGTGGACATGGACTTCTGGTGGCGCGGCCGGGCGGAGGGGACGGCGGAGGCTCCCGCAGAGCCGGCCGAGGGGATGTTACTTACAGACATCTCCGTGAGGCTTTGGGCGGAAGCAGGTGAGAAGACACGGACACGGAAAACAAAAGGAAACAAAGCGGACAAAGTGCAGCTTACTAAAAGTTAATGAATAGATTTTTAAAATCTAAATTGAGCAACATTTTTCAAGACAATCACTTCAAGGAATCTAACATTAGGCATCATTAGTAATTAGCATTATTAATAAAAGTATATAGGGAGCTGGGTGCAGCGGCACACACCTGTAATCCAGGCTCCCTGGGAGGCTGAGGCGAGAGAAGCCCAAGTTTGGGTCTAGCTTGGGCAATTTAGACAGACACTGTCTTAAAATTTTATAGAGCTGGGGTTGTAGCTCAGTGGTAGAGCACCTGCCTAGTATGTGCACCGTCCTGGGTCCAATCTGTAGTACAAAAAATAGTGTACAGGAAGAACTGATCACTCTCTTCCACTGAGATCCTACAAACACTTGCTTCATGTTCATGTTAATCTAAAAAGGTAGGAAATCACTTCTGTGTGTGTGGGACAGTTGCAGATAAAATTATTATGATTGCAGAGGTTTTCCCTCCGAAGTGACAGCTCTGTGTGATGTTTCTGTGTCACATGTCCTAGATTATTCACGCAGTACAAGACCATCATCACCCCAAAATCACCATCTCTGGAAACCTCAAAACACAAAGACTAGGTTACCTGCTTAGCATTTAGTACAGGAAGAACAGCTAAGTGGGAAATGGGCATCCAGCTACCTGGCCTAAGGGATCTCATGTCCCAGGAAGACACTCTGACCTTCTGAGGCCTCGCAGTAACACTCCCTTCTCCCTGACGCTAACGGAGAAGGAAGAGACGAGCTAGTCCAAGAACAGAGACTGATTAGGATAGAATCCAACCCAGGAGATGAAGAAGATGCATTTCTTGAAATAATAAAAAGTACAATTTATCATCATTTAAAAGAAAACACTTTAAGAAGTTTGTGCTTCTGACTGACCAGCTGCAATGGCCACGTTTCCTCAGAGGAAGTAAAACAAACCTTGTTACTTGGGTGTAACGATGACTTGGTGGGGGACGGAGGGAAGAAGGAAGCCACAGGCACAGAGCGGAATGTGACTGAAATTAGCAGGGTCACACTGATCACAGGACCTGCTGGCTACAGGAAAGCACTTCCTATCATACCTCACTCAAGCGCACGTTAGGAGGGCCACCTCCTGCCTCCGTGTGTTCTCCCATCCTTCCAGCCTGGTACGCGCTTAGTACTGGGCGCAACCTTGGCGTCTGTACTTCCTTTGCTCCTGACCTGCTTATCTGCCGGCACTTCAGCGGGACACCGTGGAGACGGCGACACCCACCTGCTGTCTTTTCCATTCTGCAGCGCTGCGTACCGATCCGTGGTCCTCTCACACACGTACGTGTTCCTTCTTGCCATGCTACCTCCGGTATACACATTGTTCTTTGAGAAGAAAAAGATCAATTTTAAAACCCTGACGGTGTTTGTGGAAAGCCAGCATGCGTTAGAGCTGCTCTGCTCACAGAGGGACCCTAACTGATGAGAATTCGCGAACTTGAGGGCTCCTCGCCCTCCCTCTCCGGCCTCCTCCTTCTTCCTCACTCTCTTTCCTTCTTACATTTAGATGTCAGGAGTGAAAGGCACAGCATGGAAAACAGACTCAGCCCCATCTCAGCTCATAACCCTGCAGCGTCAGCAAGGATCAGGGTTTCCGCTCTCCCTCCTTGTGGGTGAAGATGGGAAGCCAGTGGAGGGTCCGCTCCACGCCCGGCCCTGGCACTAGCAGTGGGCCGGGCAGGGAAGACGGCCCACCTTCCTGCCCTCCCGCCCGCTGCTCTGCACTTCACTGCTGCCACCGGGGCAGCCAGGACCCCAACGCTCTGGACCAAAGGCGAGCTCTGCGAGCCACTCTGAGGGGTCCTTTGGAGTCTCGGGTGAGCCAGGAGGCAGGTGGCCCGGGGAAGGGGGAGACAAGGAAAGGGGCAGAGAGAGGGTGTGCCGCCCGCCACACACGGCCCCTACTCTGACCCCTGCCTGCCAAAACCGACCGCCACTTATTACAACAATGTACAGGAAGGATTTTCAAAAGGCCTGAAATACTCTTCTTCTCATCCTTATCCAACAACAACAAAAAAAATCCCTATTTTTAGCTAATCTAGTTTTCACCATTCTTTAAAATACATGACTAGCCTAAAATTTATTTGATAAAGAGGGCCAGAAAATTAAAAGATATTTACTTGAATTCACTTGGAGAAGCAGAAAAACATTAACAAAATTGTGTAAGTGAAGATTTAAAACCTTTCAATAGTGCAGCTTCCTAGGTGGACAGTTTTGTCACCAGTTATGGAAAAAGCATAAATTGAAAACTATAAAAGTACGGTGGAAAAGAGGCCAAGATTCTTAAGAAATTTCAGGAAAGACTTGTTCTGTTAACTGAAGACAATGAATGTGACTCATTATGAAGCTAACTTGCACTAGAACTGCTTAAAAACTAGAAATGTCATCTGTATTTCATAGTTTGAAATATGTCATCTCATTACCTGCTTTCTCATTTAACATGTCATTAACATCTGTCCCTGTGAAACGACAGAAAAATTTTATAGCTCAGAGTATACAGCTGCACACATAAATCATATTTTATTGTGACAGTAGATTCCTAATTTCTGAACATTTAAATTGTTCCCTACTTTGTTTATATAAGGTACAAAGGAGGTTAAATTGTCTAGAAGCTTACTGGAAATCTGAAATCTAGAGGAAAATTCTAGAAGTAATAGAAAATAGAGAAAACTGTTAAGATTGCATCGAGGTGATTAAAAGGCTGTGTGAAGTCACCCCATGGGCAGAAAATGTGCCAGGTCCAGAACAGCAACGCTGGACATTCTCATAACCTTGGCAAAACTGTCCCCGAGTCCTGGCTTTGAACAAGCTCCCGGTCCAACCAAGCTGCCACACATTTGGGGCATTTTCCAAGTCCATCTCCCCTCCACGCCCTGCTCTCTTGCTTGAGCCTCTGACACCAGGGACATCCAGGGCGGGAGCCAGTCTGCTCAACTGAGGTGTACTCTGCATGGGAGCTGAGGACACAGTTATGCAGAAGGGAGTTATGGAGACACAGTCTCCCTGATTCAGCTGACAGGTGTACACATAAAACGAGCTTTCCAAGAGGCCCTTCCTAGGTCAGACACCCAAGCTCTGCACTTCCTAAGTGTGTGTGTGTGTGTGTGGGGGGGGGGTGATGAGGGTCTAGGGACAGTGGAAACGACCCTTCCCAGACCCCTGAATTGTGGTTAGAGTTATACCATGATATTTAGATGCAGCATCTGGTAATCACTATAATGTCTTAAGTGTCTGAGTCTCTCTGAAAGAAGGAACGTTTTTGGTTGTACTTGATGCTCTCCCCATGCTGTCTGCCAAGTGTCAGCAAAGTCTCATCTGCCAGTGTCACCCTTCAGTCAGTTAGACTAATGTTAAATAATGCCGTCAATGGAATCTTTTACTATTGCCTAAACACTGCTTCTGATTTTATAAACATTACATGCATTGTTAAACTAGCAGGCCTAGTGGTGTGGACCTGCAATCCCAGCACTCCTGAGGCAGGCAGATTGCAAATCTGAGCCTAACCTGGACAACCTAGTGACTTAGCGAGACTCTATCTCAAAATAAAAAGTAAAGAAGGGCTGGGGATGTAGCTTAGGGTGGAGGTCCTGCTTTCAATCCCCAGTACCAGGGAAAGAAGTACTATTAAACTATCACCTACTAAGTTATCTACCCATGCTATGGGTATTACTCTTCTACCGTCAGAAGTTAAGGAGCTATGTCACATCCTGTGAGTGGATTAGATATTTTTCACTGTACTCCGCTATGCTCACACTGATAGGCACAGGCAAAAAATGTTCATATATTTAGTCAGTATTTTACCATAACACAGAGCCTGGATCACAAATGCTCAACTTCCTTCTGCCTGGGAAACTGCTGCGAAGAGAAGGGATCTAAGGTGGTATTTTCGCTTTGAAGCAGAAACTGCCCAGTTTCTTCCATACAGAGCCAGGTGCGGACCTGGCTCAGCTTTGCCGGCTGCCCCGTCAATGGTATCAGCTGTCTGGGGCAGGCAAAGCACACACAGAAGGGTACTTCTTCCTTGCCCTTCAGATTCGCCAGCGTTTTCAGGAAGGGTAATACCTGTCGTTGCTGGGCTTATGGGGAAGTAACTGCTCTCTGCACTGCCCCACCACATTTAAATTAAGAATCTGCATATGTACACTGCATGGACCAGCAGCCGGCCAGCCAGCGCCACCACGAGCACATAGCGGAGCGGGTTCAGGCGAACGCGGGGGGCGGGGGGGCTGGGGGCTGGCACTGGGGCAACCATGCCACCCGGGCCAGTCCCTGACTCAGCAGCCAGGGTGAAGTCAGCACTGAGCACGGGCTCCCAGTGGGCCTGGATCGGGCCTTTGGGAACCCACTGAACAGAAACACTCGTACTGGAAGTGTAGGAGGACGTGCGTGCTGCCAGTGGAAAATTCTGAACGCTCCCCCAACCCCAGAAATGCTGAAAGGACCGCGGCACCGCAGCCTGTGTGTGCCAATCACGTGCAGTCAGGAAGACTCCGCGGTGATACAGGCAAGAAAGACAAAAATGTAATAGACACTGTATGACCTACTTTTTAAAATAAAAAGCACGATAAAATAATTCTGTAGTATCACAAAGGAAACCTGAGAACGAGCTCAGCCCCATCACTGGCACAGGTCATGTGACGAGCTGAGACTGTTAGGTCGTGCATAGAAATGAGGAGGCTATTAATTTTACTTTAGAAAGTTCTGGACTGCTAGTCACAATAATTTTGTTTCCTCAAATTACCAAAATTAATTAGTGGCTAAAAACAGAATTTCTCTGCTGGAGTCATGTCATGTCTTAAAGATCGAGGATACTAACTCTGGCAGTATGAATTTGCATTTGACCTCATGCTCTAATGCACCCCTGTGCTGGTTGACAAACACGATTTCAGGGCCCCCTGCGCATTTCTGCACCAGTGCTTCTGAGTGAGCGGAGCTGCACTTTCCGTGGGAACCGCGGGGACAGAGCTGGTCAGCATGGAGCCTGGAGCTGCACCTCAAAAACAGCAGCGGTAAGGCGGGCCGAGGGAGGACTGAGACTTGCTGCCATCCAGGGAAGGGGCTGAGCCAGAGGGCACCGCCCACAGACAGGGCGGGGGGCTGCAGGGCTGGTTGCGTGCAGGGCAGGAGGAGACCCACGGAGTACAAAGACGGGCAACACGGGGTGGGGGAACCAGCGACCGAGTTCTCTCTTTCTGTTACGCGGGGTGTGAGTGTGTGTGTGCGTGTGTGTGTGAGTCATGACACTGGGACCTGTCCTTTGGCTGGCGGGAAAATCATGGCTTGCCTATGGAAATTATTTGCAGAAGGTTAAACCTCTGTACTTCCAAGAGGATCAGTTGGAAGGGTAGCAGTTCTATCTGGCGACTTTTAAAGTAGGTGTGTGCCTCTCCTGCACGGACTAGGAGGGGACAGTCTAGTCCCTATTCAAATAACAGTGTGTGTTTCACCTAACAGAAGCCCGGGACCCGTGTCCAGCCCGCGGTGAGGAAGTCACACTGCGCGTTTCCGCACGCTGTTCTGTGCTGCTGCTTACAGCACTCCCCCTCTCCCACAGGCGTGATGAAAGTGCTTCCTGTTCCTGCTGTTGGTTTAAAAGCTGTCATAGTTTCTTCTCCAGCTGTTCACCCTTCACTCTTGTAGTGGTGTTCGTTTACCAGGACTGATTTCTTAAACTCACTGCCTACGGCTGATCTTCTTGACTCTCCACCCCAGCCTTACTCTGTCTGGAGTTTCGGCAATAATTTTCACTCTGTCTGTGTCATGTGTTGTTGGGGACCACTACAAAGTGGCTCTGAGCAGGATTTCATATTAACCAATTGGCTTTCCATGTCTACTTGTGAGTTGTCTGAAGGCCATAGCTGAGGATGTCTGGCTCCAACCCCAATTAACTTAAAGGAGACGGCAGCCGAAGGCATCTCACGCCTGCTGTGAAGGCCCTCCTGGAGATAACATAGTTCTCCTAACTTAACACAATAATTTACTTGAAAAAGTCCTGCCCAGATTCCCGCCTTTTCTTGAGTATCCTCCTCCTTTGTTTAAAAACCAAATGAATATGGGCCACCCAGAGAAGTCTTTGGCTAACTCAGAGAATACTGAAGCTGTGAGAGAGTTAGTCCCTCCTGGTACCCTAAAGTCATTACCACTGTCTCATTTATTTAAGCCTTCGCCAGCCACTCACTTGGGAGATTGCGGGCCTGATCAGCCTGCAATAACTTAGGGTTATTTAACCTGGTTTTTGATAACGGTCACCTCACGTACACTTCAGCGTGCCGTCCGTTACTCCCACCCGAGTGCTTTCTAGACTCTCTGTCCCATCTCCGGCGGCCTCCGCTTCTCCCCTGCCTCCCACAGTACCGTGTCCACAGCATGTGCCTCCTGTGCAGCACCCGGGTAACCTCGCACCTGGGCTGCTCACCACGGCTGCCCCCGCTCAACCGCCCGCTTCAGGTCTGCAGAGCTAGGCTGAGTCTCACATCTTGGGCACGGGAGGCAAGTGCTCTCCCTCAAGCCCCATCCCCAGCTCTGAACCGTGCTCTGTGGGTGTGAGATCCATGGGCCAGTGTCACGTCAAGTCACTGTCACAAACAGGGATGCAAGAGTCAGGGGAGTTCTCTTTGGTGGTGAGGCTGTGACCCTGAGAGTCCCTTTTGCTGTTTAAATAGCTTTTCCGAGAAGCTTCCTCCTCCTTTTCATGTTCTGCCAATTGTGATTCACTTGGACACACTTGAAAGCACAAAAGATAAAGATCTCACAAGGCACTCTGCGCACAGTGAGGGGCAGTCTGCCGGGGCCAGGGTGTGCACTCACGCTGGGGATGGTGGAGGACTTCTTCCTTTCGGGGCCCGCGAGCGGGCTGGCCGTCACCTCGCTTTTCGAGCCGACCGTGATGCTGCCCAGCTTCCGGGCCACGTCTTTGTCCCACTCCTCTTTCTGCTCACTTTCCACACTGTTGGCCTGGGGCCTCTTGGTGTAGGACACGGCAGCGGGGATGGACGGGCCGGCTGGAATGCAAAGAACAGCAGTTAGCTGAATAGCAAGGGACACACTTTCTTCTACGAACAAAAACTACTAGAGACGTCTGTGTTTGCAGGCTTTACACTCTGCACTAAGATTCCTCTGTTTCATTACAAAAGTCAGGTCAGCCCTGCAAACGGGATCGGTTCTGTCCTGCAGCTGAGTGGTTCCAGGAATCTGGGGAGCTGGGGACATGCAGGTGTGTGTGGGACTCGCTGGGCACTTGGCTAGGGAAGGCCTGGTCCGCCTCTCTGTCCCCACGTTCAGTCCTCACCGTGATCGCTGAAGCGCCGCTGCTTCTGATTGGCGGAGATGCTTCGCTGGACCTTCAGGTGTGCGGGGGACTGCAGGGTGCTGTTGTTGAGGTCGCTGCTGGGCCGGGACCGCTGACTCAGGTTCCCACTGGACAGTGCCTCACCACCTTCAAACTACGAGAAGAAAGACCAAGGTTTTAAAACCAAAAAATGTTGTTGTATGCTAACAAAATGCACTCTTGACCTTCTACACCATTCAAAACTACACCCAGAGTAACCAGCTCTAAAAGCCAGCTGGCTCTAGGTAGAGCACTTCAAGCTGGCACGACGGAGGAGAGGGCCTGGGTAGACGGAGCCTGAGGGTGCTTGTCACCTCCTGCTTCTTTGTGTAAACCCTAGTTTAGTTAATACACCAAATAAGAGCTACAAATTACTGCACGGTAATTATGTGGTGGCCTCTGGCGGAAGCTTTTCCTATGTTACTTTGTTTAATCATTACAACAAAGCTGCAATGAACGTACTAACCTGCACTTCACAGACAGGAAAAACTGGGGTTAAGAATCAAGGAGCACTGCTGGGACTCAAACTTGGGACCAAAATCTAACATTCTAAATATATATATATATATATATAGAGAGAGAGAGTGTGTGTGTGTGTGTGTGTGTGTGTGTGTGTGTGTGTGTAAGCGCGTGCACATACACTACTAAAATGTCTACTTTCCATACTTTATGCTTTGACCTAAGACTGAAGTATTTTGTTTGGTGTTTTCCACATTTTCAAAACAAAATCTGGGTTACTGGCTCCGATCAGGAAATCACATCTGTTTGAAAGTAAGCACAGTAAATGAGGGGTTGACACACCGTTCCTCTCTGCAGCATGAAAGTCGTTTGCTGCCAGCGAACGTGGGTGGAATCTCTGTCTCCGACGCTGCCCCTCCCTTGAGCACCACTCACCGTCCTTCCCTGCACCCCCGAACGACCCTACTGCCTTGGCGAGGCTGTCGCTCTCAGACACACATGCTGCACACGGAACGGCTCAAGGGCAGCATCCGAGGACGAGGCCGTGAGAGCTGCCCGCTGGGGCTGGGCGGGACAGTGACCTGCTCTCTCACAGACCTCTCTCGGTTCCTGGGGATGACATTAGTTTATAACTTGCACCTTGAGTTCTGAATTGTAACCAAGAAAAATATTTTGATCCTTGCATTATTGTTGCCATCACAAAGAACAGAATACATTTAAACAGAATACACTGACTTAGCTGTCACCAAACTCAAGGAATACTTCACATTAATTTACAAAGATAAACAACTTACTTCAGGAGGTTTTCTACCTAGAAGAATGTAAGTAGCCATAACTTCATCGTACTTCTGATTTATTAAGGCATCATTTATTTCATCTCGTGCAAAACCCATGGTGACCATAACATCTAGGAGGAAAATGCAAATATTCTCAAAATGGTTTATTTTAGTAAACAAATCAGCAAAAGTGGGCAAATTTGCCAATACTGGATGTGAAAATTAAGCCTTAAAATTTTCAAGTGTAGTTTTCATAATTAAAAGATATAGTATATATGTCCTGGATTAACCTGCATATCCTGAATGTCATAGATCACACACATTCGTCTTTTTTTGCAGAATTACCTACACTGTAGATGATGCACTCAGGGCAGATCGATTTCTCACTGCCTCATACTCTGCCATGCTGACTTCCTTTGTCCCCCCAAGGCCGTGTCTGCCTGGGGTGCCTACAGGTCCTCTTCCCTGTCCAACCCTTCGCACCCTTCCTGTCACAGAGGGGCTCTCTCCTCTCTCCCCCACCCGCTCTCCTCTGTCTCCAGCAGACTGATTCTCCTCTGGAAGACCTCAACTCCACAGCTGTCCCTCTGGGCAGGCCCCTCAAGCTCTCCCCGGCTTCTGGCTTTCCAGCTGGGTGGGAGGAGCTGGTGAGATCCAATGGGTTTGGCCACTGGAGAGACACAGGCCCTGGGAGCAGAGGTCTGGCAGGGGGGCGGGAGACGCCCGCAGCTAGAACACGGAAAAGGGGGAGCAGGAGTCTGAGTGCTCAACCCCGGTCACTCAGCACTTCTGAATTCTCCATAAAAAATGCTGATGCTCCTCAGTCTGGCCAATGCTGAGAACTCTGGGGAGGGATTGTGGACAGGAAAGAATACAGTACAATAAGGACAGAACTGAGGAAAGGAAAGAATAAGAAGAATAAAATTTCAACATTTAATATTTATCATTAAGATGGTAATGCAAATCTTTACCAAAGAAAAGCTGCTTCCTATTCTATTCTTAAAACACTATTTTGGTAGCCTAAAGAACTTGCACTTGTAGCCCACAGTAGCACCCTGCTAATATTCAAATACTCACCTATTCTTTTTATATCATTGAAATCCGGTTCTGGCTCAGTGTATGGCTTTAGTTCTTCTTCTTCGTGTCCTACATTCATCCATCGGTCTTTCATTATTTGCTAGGAAATAAAGTCGATGTTACGTTTGGTCAATCACAACATTCAACCACTTTTTAGCTTTCTAACAGTGACGGCGAACCTTTTAGAGCTTTTTGCCCCCACTGCTCTATAAACGTGTGTGAAAATTATTGGTTCACTCGATAGGAGCCACGAGGCATCTTCAGATAAAGTGACTGTTTGTTCACCAGGGCAGCAGAAGTGCAGGACTTTGGAACACAGCAGCCTACCACATGGGTGCCTGCCACGTCACACACTCACCAAACGTCATGACTCCAGGAACGACCCTCCACCCTTGTTTAAAAGGAGTACTTTCAAATGTGAAAGATTTAACATAAGACCTACTGCTTTTAACCTTTGCTGTATATTTTTACATTTACAATTAATGGAAAGATTCTATTTTTTTTTATGTTCTTCAGCCAAATACATGCCTATATTTAAAAGTCACTACTTATTCACATATCAGGAAAGAAGAGATTATGAGGAATGGAAATCAGTAACGATAACTCAGAGAATATGGAAAGGGAAGACAGTTAAAAAATTAAGTCTAGAACTAGAAATAAGGTAAAGCCAGGGTGGGAGCAGTGCTGACACAAATTACCAGAGGGAGATTTAAGCTGAGGGTGGGAACAGCAGAGAGTGCTGGGCCAGCAGCCCAAGACTGCCCAGCAGGGTAATCTATGGGATAGGAAAAAATATTTGCAAACCACACACTAATCCAGGGTCATTATTCAGAATATGCAAAGAACTCCTCCAATTCAATAACATAAAAATTAATAACCTGATTTTAAAATGGACAAAGGGAATAAATAGACATTTCTCCAGAGAAGATACAACAATGGCCAACAGGTACATGAAAAGACGCTCACACAAAATCCTAATCACCAAAGAAAACCACAACCACATGAGATACCATCTCCTACCCATTAGGATGGCCACTATGAAACCACCAAAATAATAACGGACCACCGGATGCGGACAGATCAGAGCCCTTGTGCAACACTGCAGGCAGCGTAAAATGGTGTAAAAAATTAACAGAACAACGACATCATCCAGTAGTCCCACTCCTGGGTATTTATTCAAAAGAACAAGAGGCAGAAGAGCCAGGAGAGATCTGCATGCTGTGCTCACTGTGGCATCCTTCACAGCGGCCGAGGCAGGAGCCACCTGAACGCCCACTGACAGATGAATGGGTGAAGAGAATGCGCAGCTCCTACGCATCAGAATATATCCACCCTCATGCAGGAAATCCTGCTCCAACCTGGAGGGACCTGGGCTGTGTGCGGAGCAAGGTGAGCCAACCTCAGCAAGGCAAACGCCGCACGATTCCACCTCTGCAAGAGCCCTCACGCTGTCCAGTTCGCAGAAACACGAAGCAGGAGGGAGGCTGACCGGAGGAGGAGCTGTCTAATAGGTCTGGAGTTTGACCACAAGGTTTGATCACAGCTCTGGAAAGCCACGTATGACAAGGCGCACACAGCCACGCTGCAACACACACCTAGCGCGGTGAAGAGGGTGATGTATGTTTGTCTCTCTACTCCCCTCAGAGGGCAGCCTCGTGGGGACATCGGCATAGTCATGGATGACGGAGGACTGGCACCCGGGGATAGAGGCAGTGCTGGAGGAAGACCTGAACTTTCACGCTGGAAGAGAAACATGCTGGTATGGAATGATTCTGCATTAATTACAAGCCTTTAATGCTCCAGACGTTGTGCAATTGTTTTCTTTTTTCAAGGCCTATAAAGTACCTCCTCCAGGTCCATACCTTACCTGCCGAGAGTCGACTAGTAAGAAAAATGACCTTCCACACAGGCGCCCTTTGAAGGCTGACCTTGCCTGCCCAGGTAATCTTCCCTTATTCACCCAAAGGTAACTGCTAAAAGACAGAACTCCAAGCTGACCTTGGACACTAGATCTGAGAACGCAGCAGCACGGGTGGGAGGATGTTCCCAAAGCTCTCAGACCCATGGTAAACTCATGGACTGAAAAGTATCACCACACAGACACAAACCTCTCAAAAAGATCACCACTAAGTTCACTTCTTATAACCGCTTTGAGCAGTGGCACTTAGGTAACTCTCCAGCTAGCTGAAAGGAAAGGAGACCCACTACCCACTGCCAGTAACAATGCTACTACGTAACGAGTCTGTGGTGGCCAGCTGTCAGGAAACAGAAGGAGTTGGCAGGCTGGCATCAGGAGGAAGAGTAAGAACAGAGCACAGCTGTGAACTCCCGCCACTGTTTCCCCAGGTGAAGCCGCCTCTGCTCTCACCTGTCCTCTCAAACAGTACGTCTGACAGCAGCCTACAAAGAGTCAGGAGCTGGCCTTGTAGGGGTGAAATTTTTTTGCTGGCAGAGCCTTGTAGGTTGGGAGATGAATCCAGTATTCCTCCTTTACCTGAAGTTTTGCTTTCCAATGTGCTCAAACATGGCCTGAGAACATTAGCTGGGCAACTCCAGCGGTGAATAATTCCTAAGTTTTCACGTGTGTGCCAGGCTGGGGTTTAACTGAACGCCAGCAGTGCCATGCAGCGCTATTAGTCAGTCCCAAGACCCACTGCTACATGACAGCCGAGGGACAGCGCGTGCAAGGTGGATACGCCGCCCACACCACACGCACAGAACAGGCAGCGCGAGAGCTCACCGGAATTTACTTCACAGTGTCCTGGGCTCGGCGGCGAAGGCTGAACGGAGCCCAGCCCCACCTCACAACGCCCACGCCGTGCACCTCGCCCCCCTCACCACGGGCGCTGCGCCTTCTCACACCACCACGAGACGTGCGAGGGGCGCACGAGAGACATTTCGAGAGGCAGACAGACACCATTCAGGTCACTTTCATTGCAGGACACCGTACCTGCCGTGCTTCGCCGTTGGTTATCATTGTTAACCTCACTGGCCTGGTTTACAGACTAGCTTTATCGTAGGTGTGTATGGACGGAAAAACAACAGCGCACACGGGGCTTGGTTCACTGGCGGTTCCCGAACCCCTGGGAGGTCCTGAAGGTTTCCCTGAGGACTAGGGTAACGACCCTACCTAAAAACCCTCCCAACACAGCGACCCACGTAAGGGCCATCCCTGAGCACGCTCCAGCCCTCTGCTCACGGGGCTCTGGGAACGAGACACACATTTAAACCTGTCCTCCCCAGGCCTCACCCTGCCGCACGCCCACCACCGAGGAAGCTCCCTGCCCTTCCACATTTGTTACTGTCCAGGGGACGAAGGAGGCAGGGCAGAGGCAGAACAACAAGTGTGAGTTGGAAAGAAATTTTCCAAGTGTTTCAAATCCACTCCAATGAGTCTTCTGCCATGTTCTCATTTAAGATGACCAGGTTAAGAGCTCGAAAACAACAACCATGAGTGAGATTTGTAAACAGTGGAGCCATGTGAAACTAGAGCCAGGAAGAAAAAGGAAAGGTCAGCAACAAAAGGACTGGAAGGGAGGCAAAAGAAAGCAAGGCTCCAGGGAGGAGAGATCCCAGGTCCGAAGAGGCCGGCGGCCAGACCAGCAGGACGTGTGGGGCCGGCACGACCAGCTCGGGAGCAGGGCCTGAGCCTGGAGCTTCGGCAGCTTTGGCAGAGCTGAGGCTTCCTTCATGAGCAGGGCGATTTTAAAGGCGTGATTTTGAAAAGCCTCTCTGGCCGGTGTGCACAGCACATCTGAGGGCTCAAGACGGAAGGGTCAGGAGTCAACTGAGGGGCATTTTAGCTGCGATCTAATGATGACACTCCGAGTTAGAGGAACGCAGCTGAAACATTAAAAAAGATGCTTGACTGACCTGGCGGTAAAAATTAACAAAACATCGCGACTGGATACAGGCAGAGGTGGAAGGGAGAGACGGAACGCAACACCCAGGTTTCAGGGCAGACCAGGGAATGGGCTTGGTACCGCTCCTGGGACAAGCGTAGCCCGGGCAGGACTGGAGTTGCACTGGAGCAGCTGAGCCCGAGGCACCGGGGTACTCGAGCAGTGGGCCTGCAGCCTCTGGTCTGCAGCTCAGGGCAAGACTGGCTCTGATCAGTGCTGATGAACACTGTTTTCCAGGTGACAACAGAGGACCTCGTGGGAGAGGCACACCCAGGAGAAGGAACAGATTCGGGAGCACCAGGGGAGGGGTCCGGGAGGGCCTCCAGGACACCACGGCACCTGATGGGGAGCAGAGGGCCCAGGACAGGCATGCTTCTGCAGGAGGAGGCGGTATCCTGCCAGCTCAGGCAGAAGGATGGATCCCTCCAGAGGGAAGTTCCACTGAGGCCTGCAGTTAGGAGCCAGAGGAAATGACAGCAGGTAGGAGACAGATGGGTGACACCGGTGTAGACTGCAGAAAGTCTGGCTAGGAAAGGGCTGCACGGAAGGGAGGGACGAAGGCCCAAGGAGGGAAGCCACGGGCGATGCGGGCTGGAAGGGTTTCGAAACACACCCCTCTCCACCCCAAAGCAGCCTGGGGAGCCACAGTGGTACCAGGCACGTGAAAGGTGAGGGACACACGGGGGAGCCTGCAGGGCCAGGGCCATTTCTCAGTGGAGTGAAGGAGGAGCTGGTTGGCCTAGAGTGCATCCCTCTATTTTCTCCACCCAAGCTCTTTTTCATCTTCAAATGACCACGGAAAATCTAGGCCCTCCCTCTCCTTGTCTTTGATCACATCCTGATTTTTACTTACACTCTAATGCAGCCTGTCATTACGTGAGTCTTCTGCGTTCACCTGTTATTATCCATTTCCACTGTTAGACTCTAAGCCTCAAGGGAGAACGACCCATGCTTGACGTGTTCGGTCTCAGGTACCCAACACTCAGAGCACCGAGCATGTAAATGCTCACTACAGATATGTAGACTGACTATACAAGCCCATGTCTGAATCCCTCGGCATCCTTCCGTGATCCCACGGGGTTTGGCTAGAGCCTGCTGTCACTCTACTCAGTCACACCGCACCTTGGACTACCACCCGTGGTGTGCAGATCTACCGCCCTCAGCTTTTTACCGTCCTGGAGGCACAGATCGCCACGCA